GGCATATAATATATATTTCAGGTTAAAAATTGCACTTTAGACAGCTCTTCCTAGCTCTAATAGGGCGTCTCTAAATCCCAGTTCAGAAAGGTTTTGGAACTGTGAATCCACTATCCTGTCAATATGCAAGAGGGTCTACGACAACACAAGGTCCAAACCCCAGTGTGGTGTTCAACTGTGAACTAATCCTGAAAGATACAGTTACCGTAAAAAAGCAAAACCTGGTCGAGGAAAAACATGTTTAAGAATCCAGAGGGCTTATAGTGGCTTCAACCCTTGTTTTGGGATTTAGCAAAACTAGACTATACCTCATGTGACTGTATATAAACAAAACAGATTTAGGTCCCTCTGGCTATGAGACTGAATCTGGTAATGCCAATAGGTATCACAATGAACAGGAATCTTAAGGTTTGTACTATTCTCCCAATTTCTCCCTACCACCAAAAGGAACAAATGTACTTTAATGCGAACACTGTTTACAGCAATTACTTAAATTCTACCACAGCCTGCATTAGCATTTTAAAAAGCATCTGTGTGATGAAGTGACTGATAAAGCATTTTAGAAAAATGTTTTAAAGTGTTCTCCTTTGCTTTATCTGTAATAGACTACAATTAACAGCAACAGAAAATTGCTTTAAAAAGGAACATCAATTGGGATGAAATGTAGATCATAAGAGGGCAGCATGAAAGATTGGAATAAATGACAGGCAGGAGAGAAGACATAGTAATTTCTCATTATTTTTCACTTAACCAAAGCATGAGAATCTCAAAGTATTTGTTATCACCATTGAACATCCATGTGACGCAAAGGTATATCAGCCCAGAATTTTCCAGACAAATCTGCAAGAAATGAGAGTATTAATGGTCTGTGAATGTTGCAAAGGTTATGTCATGAGCCAGAAACAGATTTTTAAGGACTTAGCTTCCATGTCTTTACTTTTGAAAAAGTACTGCAGTTATTGCTCTGTGGTGCAATGAGTTAATTCAACAAGGCAGGTAATACTTTGGCTTACTGGGACCCATGCTAGCATTTCAGAGGGCAATAGCTAAAAGCGTGGTTCAGTTCCTAGAACCTTCCCTATAGCAGAAAGTTTTACCAGCAAAGCCATCCACGCATTAGAAGAAGTTCCTAAGCATTTATATTCTGAAGCAAATCTGAATGACTCTCAACCTTCTCTTGTCAGAGACAGCTGGCTTCCTATGACTCAAGTATTACCAGCCACAAAGTGGCTCTCAACAGCCACACAGACACCCATGACAGTAAGGAACAGCAGACCTACCCTGTAGCTCCGATTACTTGCAACACAGGTGATGCCTCATCCTGAGAAACAGTGCTGATTAAGTTTCCTCCTTTTTAAAATCCTCTGTATCTTATGGCCTGAACTTTCTTTCAAATAATTTTGTGGTGGTCAAGTGACTACTGCCTCCAGCTCTGGGAATACTACATTCGGAAAAGGTCCGACTGACCTGAGAAGTTTGCACGAACTTCAAACATCAGTTGTGAGCCAATGAAGAGGAAGCAGATTGTGATAAGAAAACAGGTGAAATAGCCCCAAGTGAAACTGAAGGCTGACAAAGAAGAAACCTCCATCATGAATATCACACTGCTCCTGAGAAAGACCTCACCATGCTGATCACTCATCTTTCTGCTCAAGAAATACTGAGCATCAACCTCAGCACCCACAGGAACAGTGGAAGGGTGAACATAATACCATAGAAAAGGGGAAGAAAGTGGGAAGATTCTGCATAACAATTCTAGCTGTAATGTTAATGAGGTTTTTCTGTATTAACTAGGTAAAATTTGGACTATTAGACCATTAATACATTAAGTAGATGGACAATAAATTCTTGACCCCGTTTATATAGTGCATTCCTCCTTGCGCATTACAAGATTTGGAGTTTAGCAGCACGCCAAACTGCCTCAGGATTATAGAGTGTGTATTCTGACATGGGAAGACCAGGGAAAATTCAGAGCACACAGAGAAGAAGGGAACAACACCATGTCTAGAGAAAAAGAAACAACAGCATAAATCCAGTGTTGTCCTGAGACTTGGATCTACTCTCTTAATGCCATAGTGCACTAGAAACAAGTACTGTTCTACGAATAAAGTGTCTCGCAAAACATGATGCAAAAACCACCAGAACTGAGGGCCTGAGCGATGGGAAGGAATCTCCTCAAAATGCAGCTAACTTAAGTCTCTAAAGAAAAGGGCTCTGCACAGGTATCATTTTTCAGTACTGTCTGCTTTACCAATTACATGGAATTTATTTTGTTTGCTTTTGCCATAGTCTTCCACACATTGCTTCTCCCTCTCCGCCTATGAAAATTTGGTGGCCAGCCACACATGGAAACAAAGGGATCTTTTGCATTAAACTAGCTACTTCATTTTAAGGATATAAAACAGTTACACCATGCAACAGAGGAAAACATAAAGCAACAAAACCCATCCTGAAGTACATAGTTTTACAGAAAATAAACTGCAATCAGATTTCATGCAGCTATTGAAGAACAAAATTACAGGTAGATATTATTCTAGGCTTACAGTCTTAAGATGGTAGAAAGTACATATCCTATATTCAGGAACTGGTTTGGACGGGGTTACATCACTAAGCTACAGAAGAGGTGACATCACAGTTATAGTGCAGACACTAACTGATCTCAGCACACAGACAACTTTTTAGTCACGTACTACAGGGTCACTGAATCCTTTCAACAGGCAGCATTTAAGGTCTGCACAGACATCTGTAGGCAAAAATGCTTCCCCCTCATGCTACCAGACCTCGCCACAAAACTCAACAAAAACTTGAGATCATCACAGAGAAAAGTCCAGCCACAGAAGAGACATTTACAAGCCTGCTCAAGCATTCCATTTTCTCAGCCTTTTTGGCACCTTGAAAATGAATGTACACCGAAAGATCGTGACAGCCTACAAGCAATTTAGGAGGTTGTACAATACCATCCTGAAACTGTGCTGCTAAACTGTGAAACTGTAGTGTCTGTGAGCCTGTCCATACTGTTATACAGCCCAAGGTGAGAAAAATAAGACATTGTAATATTTTTATTTAGCTATCTACTAACTGTCATCTGAAAAACACCTAATAATGGCTCTCTATTTAAGACTGACTTACATTACTGAATTTTCATGTGCAGGCATAAGGCTGCTGAACAGCTCGAAGGAAAAAGGAAACTTAAAAAAAAATCTTGCATTGCTGACGATGGAAATATTATGAGTTTTCCCCAGTTATCCCTATCAGCAAGTCAAGCCCAGTAAGCCAAAAATATCTGCATAACCAGGAGGAGGTACCTATTCCATTAGGTAAAATTCAGAGATAAGGAATAAGCACAACATAGGATTAGCACGTGTCCCCCATCCATCATCTATTCTTCAGTTAGCAGAACTCATAGCAACATACTCAGTTACTTTATGAAGACTGTTTCATGTATGTAATGCTTTACAACAGGTTATGCTTCATTATTTTGCAGTCCCATATGACAAGAGCCCCCTTAAACCAAACCTCTTAAAAACAACTAACAGGGATTTGGAGCTTCTCACTGTGACAGTAAAAGGCCATCACCCATGACATATACATAACTTTAACATTTGGCCTATCCACAGCATAACAGGGACACTCATTATCTTTGAGAAGGAAGGAAAGGGGAGAACGGAATACGGAGATTCAGAACCTGGTAGTTTTGGGGATAAGATAACCCTTATTACCACAGTTCTCTAAAGGGCATGATGTATTCCTTGTATATCCTTTTAGCACTATTGCATACCATAAACCTTTTCCACAAGGTAGCACAGCAAATAGCTATGCTTATGATGCAAGAATACCATGCATCTTTTGACCTGGAAGGGCATCAAAATGTGAACAAATGGTACCAAACACAGAAGGATACTGGCAAAACTCTTGTTAATAAAGCTGTATAGCATTGGCATAGCCCAAATTTCAATTTGAAATTACAATAATGAAGTCACGTCATTCTGCTGGTATTCTGAATCACCTTCCACCCTTGTCTGCACTTCTATCTGTTTAGTCTCACATGGATGGAATCACGGATTGATCATACAAAACCCTGAGGGCCTAAACGCAATCTCCCTGAAATACCAAAATACCATGGTGCCATTTTCTTCCTAGAAAAAGACTAGAGATATAGTAAAACTGTGATTTTTCAGTTTTACTAGACATTACTTAAAGACAACGTAGATTCCTTTCCTAAAAACATAAAAACTTAAAGAGGATTCAAATTACTTCCACATATAATGAAATTACGTTCCTAATTTCCACATGGGTTTTGTTTTTTTTCAACAAATAACAATCTTAGGCAGTAAATATCTCTCTGCTATAATCACTGAAAGATAAGAACTGCTTACTGCTGTTGAGCTAGAAGAGCATAGAAACTGGTACATCCATCAGATTCAAATCATTGCACAAATAGACAGAATCATTAATGATTCTAAACATTATCCTCTTACTAAATGCATTTTCTGTAAATATGGTCTATCAAGTCAAAATAAATAATTTTAAAAACCCATGGCCCTATTATAGATACAATTCCTTCCTGTAGCTCTGTTTTTCTTACGTAAAGAATAACTATTATCCGTCATAGCTGAAATTGTGCCCAGAGGCTCAGGAAGTTCTTTTATATGCTACCCTTATGACACCCTTTTCACTCCTTGGCAACAAGTCATTAAGCTCCACAACTGTTTCTGCTCTTGTTCTCCTGGAAGTTCTTATCAGACATTTTGGGTTAACACCACAACAGGAGGTCCCTTTGCAAGTTCTTTTGACATCAAAAGCTGTAAGGTATGTATGAATGTACACAGTTACTAAGACTATTCAGTGCAACATGCATGAAGACAGGAGTACCGATCAAACTCAAATAATTTCTTATTCATTTAAGCTGCATAGCTATAAACAAAGCTTTGAATTTATTGTATATCAGACACGAAAGTATCTTCTCATCTGGAACCTGCTATCTAAATAGGAATACTCACGCTGCTGTAACTGCAGGAGGGATGACCAGTATGAGTTTAAGTTGTGCTTCATGCAGAGCTTCAGAAAGGTGAATGAGCAAGTGAATCAACTCCCTGAAACATAAATACATTGTTAGAGTGAAAGGCAGTAAAACTGGCGGTATATATTGGCAAAAGCAAGTTAACAAGTAACAGCAGAAATAATTGGAAAGATGCAGCTAGCAGGACAGCCAAACACAGTTTGTAGTGAATGACCATAGCAGAAATAAAAAAATTCTAAGACTGGTCAGAGGTTTACCCTCTTCCAGGACTAATAACAACCAATCTGCTGGAAGCAGTCTGAGTTCTATTAGAACTGGTGATCACCTTGGGGCTAAAATGGTTCCTAGTTTTATTTTAATCTAACTACACATTGTTAGCATGTAAAATCAGCATATCTTATCAGAGCAGGTCACCTCTTGAGGTCATATTCTGTAAAAAGAATTAGATCAATAGAAGAGCCAAACACTGTTCTGAAACAAGCAGCTGTTGAATAGATTCAAGTTGCTGTTGTGTTACTACATATGAGGTCTGAGAATTTGTAAAGATGCTTTCACAGCAAGACATGCAATCTTCAAGGGATATTTGAGGCCTGTATTTAGAAACATTTCTGCTGCTTGTTTTTCCTGTAGAAATAATCCTTTTGTTTCTCAAATAAAATAAATGTTTGACAATGACATATCTGGAAGTATCACCTTCCATATGCATCATTTAAAGACTTTCACAAAAGCTGATTTTCATATCCATATTCTAAACATTTCAACAGGAAAATAAACTCCAAAATAATCATGTAAACTGTTTTTAGTCTTCTTGATTTGAAGGATGGTGTTCATAGAAAATCCTTCAGAGACAGGCTGCAGAAACAAAAAAGTTTATCAGCTATCGTTATCTTGAGGAGTCCAATATTACCTTAAATTTGCACTATAAATATGGCCCTTCTGTGTGCCTTCCTTAAGTCATTTGATTTTTCAGAAAAAAGTCGACTTTCATATTTACACACTGGCAGGGTGGAGTCACAAAGGCAGTCAGACAGATGATATTAGCACAGAATTCTAGATCTGTTCAGAACTATGCTGAAACCCCAAACGAGCAGAAAGCAACTTCACGAGCCATTCCAGTAGGCTAAAAGTGCTAAAGCAGGAAAGGCAGGATATATGTAAGCAATTATTCAAGTTGTTCACTCCACTTAAAGTGGATTACACCTGAACTCTCAGAAACAATTTCTGCTACTCTCATGCCTTTCAAGGCAGTATCATCCTAGAGATATTCTTCTGAAACCAATGACCTTCCAACACAATTACCCATCACAGTAACAATGCTTAACTTGCACAACGTAGACACTATCCAAAGGTAACAAAATATTTTTGTTTTCCCTGAAATGGTTTGATGCCTGATGAAAACTTCCTAAGGATGATACCAAAACCATTACTCTCAAAATCCTGGCAAACAAACAAAGCAAGTTTTAGGGCTTTCCCAATACCATGAGTATTTTCTGCTTACAATTTGAGAGCTAACTGTGCTGAACAGCCCTTGACAGAAGAACTCCCACACAGAAGGTATCAGGAGTGAAAGCTGTTGCTGGCCCTCACCTTCCCTTGGCAGCCCTTTCACATGCACACCAACACTGGGGCTCTGCCCTTGCTTAGCCAGCTAACTATTCCCATGCTCTAGCCCATTCCTGTCACAGCCCAGCTCCAAAATTGAAAACATCCAATGACTGCTCCCACATGGAAGGTTTCAGGAATAAAAGCTCTTGCTGGCCTGCACCTTCCCTTGGCAGCCCTTTCACAGGCACACCAACAGTGGGGCTCTGTGCTGTCACACTGCCACCTATATTTCTCTTGGGGCGGGGGGGAAGACATGAGATTACTGGAATCAGCTTTTGGTCTGTCTGCAGCATGTACTTCTACCATTCTTCCTCTGAGTAACAGCTTTCCCTCCCATTTCCTCATCATATGCATTCCACATTAAGAATGTCACCATTCAGACAAATCAATTATAGCAAAGAAGAATCCTTTTCCATAAGAATGCATTAAAAAATTACAACACTAAACTAAACAGACATTTATTGACTCCAGCATACACATCACAGCTCCCACATAACAATCTTATCAAAACTATAATTGGTATTAAAACTAGCTCAGTCTTCTTTCCCACTGACTTGTGTCTCATGGCTAAGTGACCTTTTTTAACTAATTATGCCCAAACTGCAGTGTGAGTGCATGCTTTATTAGATGTCAGAGATGCTACATATAAGATAAATCTGACCAAAGAATCAATTCCTCTGGCATCAAGATTATTCTACACTGTTCATCAGCAGAAATGTCTCTTCTCTGCCTGGCTGCCTTTGCTAGCTGTAGGAACTTTGAGACCTCCATGCCATGCAAAACATTTGCTGACTTTAAATTTAATTATTTAGAAGGTGAGGGGATAGGAGGGGCAGAATAGGACAAAAGAACCTAACATAGATGCAGAGCAAGACAATGCCTTTTTCAGAAACAAGGCTAACACCGTCACTCCCACTCTGCATCAGATCTCTCATATCTGCCTCAGCTCCTAAAATTTTGCTATCCCGATAGCAATGCTTTGAAGTATACGAAAAGCAGTTGGGATTATTTTGAACCAGATGCAGAGAAAAAAAAAAATCCAAGTGAATATTAATTTGAAGGTTTCCCCGTTCCTTGGCAATGTCAGACACTGGTGGTTAGCCAGCAGAGGTAAAAATGTATCCACAAAAGCAGCAACACACCCACAAAAACAGAGACTGCACAAACCCACTCATATTTTAAGACTAGAAAGGCATACAGCATAGAACCACAACCTACAACTGTAAATGAAGGACAGAGATTTGTGGCCTGATAAAGGGGCAGGAGTGCTGGTTTGGATTGCTGGTTTTATTTTGTAGTTAGCAGACTGGACTCTAAGTAAAAACAGACTCCATCAAAACAGCCGCTTCCTCTCCTCCCACCACCAAATCCAAGCAGTATAGCTCTGGCCAAAAAATAACTAGCTTCAACTTGGAGGCGGTCAGGAAGAAAAGGGGTAGCTGGATAACTACAGATTCTTGCTCAAGGAACTTAGATTAACATCTATTCAACTAATCTGTCAAACCAGGTCTCTGGGCCCTGAAAACTTTCTAGCAAATCAGACAGGATCAATCATTAAAGACTTAATTTAGGTTTACGTCCATTTGTCAGCCAAGACAGATTATGTAACTCAAACATACACTCTTCCCCTCTCTCCCAAACAGCAATAGCAGAATGCTTATTTATTGTGCTATAAATTGAAACTTTACTGTGTCCCAACAGTGCTCTCCAGTGTTTTAAACACAATATTGTCCCATACCACTACCAGTAATTTTGAAAGAAAAGCTACTGACATTTTAAACATGATAATGAGGTGCAGGAAAGTAGGAATAGAATCAGTCTTCCTGAAAAGGCTTTATTAAATATTTACCAGAGACTTCACCATTGTCAAAATTTAACTTCAGAGTAGCTACTAAAACATTGGCAGCTTTAAGACTGTATCTTGGGCTAATTAAGGTCTACTCCATTCCTACTATTTCAGGCCTTCTATTATCACTACTATTTGGTAGGTCAATTCTCCAAGTGTTCATGATTTCAAAGAATCTTGTCCCCTATAAAGCATGCAGACCTCCACATTTTCATCACTCAGATTTTGAGGGAAACTTATTTTTTCAGAACTCCTTTTTTCCAGCATTGCTGGTCTACTGTATTTGGGACACCTTGTAGTACAGTTTACTCCAGTGCACAAAAGCCAGCTGTAGGTGTATTTGAAAAGCCTTACAGAAGACATGTAAGACTGTTATATCCCTCCCTTCAGTTACCAGACCCTTCAAAACTCTGCAACTTTCCAACTGCAGTCACTTTTTTGCACAAGTTGGTAGTAAGTACTCCCTAAAATTTATGCCTTGTCAAGAAAATTGGACAGAATAAAGCTGTCTACTTCAAGAAGAAATTGCCCTTTTGTGCCATTTCCTTGCCTAGTTAATACCAAGAAAGTGGAGTGAATTATGGTAAATCTTTGATTAATAGATTAATTTTTCAGTGACTAAAATGAAGGATAGAACTGCCAGAAGAGCTTTTTGCTCCTATACTCCTACTAACATTAATAAGACGTCTGAAGGTCATCTCCTGCATGATATCAAGTGCCTGCAGCACGTGGTAGCCAAAAAAAAAAAGAAAAATCACATTTTTCAGATTGATTCTGTGTAATGGCAGTGCCATCTGTCAGGTAATGCCAGACTGATCAGGATAACATGTGCACTTTTATGTATGCTTAGAGATTCTGATGGGTACATTCATGCCTTTTTCACAACATGACCCAGGTGTCTGGGGGAAAAAAAAAAAACAACACAAACACCCGATAAGCCCACAAGCGAGATTAGCAAGAGAGACATCATCCTGTCTAGCTATTAACTAAATAAGCAGCAGAACTTTTGAGTTACCTTCAATATTTCTGCCATGTACATTTCTAAACTTAAATGCCACAGGATGAATAACTTGGAATATTTTATTGCAAAATCAGTCAAGAAAGTTTTAGATAAAAGACAGTTATTTAATTAAGAAGCAGGTTTAAACTATAAGAAGCAGCAAAACACATTAGAATGGAGGTATCATCTGAATAGTATATCTTGGCTAATTTAGATTTTTGTTAGGAGACTTATTTCTTGTGTGTTAGAATAAAAGATGGGAAGCCAAATACTTTCTCACTGTGCAATGATTATCAGCATGAGAGAAGGCAACATCAGTTAAACGCAGTCTTTCATCTCACATTAAATTTGACCTCACTGTGATTTGTATATCAATAATTCTATTCTCAGAAATCACAGGAAAGAAGTAGGTACCAGTACTATAGAGGATACTTTCAAGTATCTGTATTAGACATCTATAGGAGCCTGAGCTTGTCAGTATAAACCCCCTAAAACTTAGGTCCACACACACATATATCAAGACAATTCAGGTTCTTCAGATAGCACAGGTGGTATTTTGGCATCTAAATATAAGAACCTAATGCCATTTTATACATCCAAAGGTATACAAAGCATGCATACGGCATTGCTATGTGAGACTCGAGGCATCTAGGACCCTATATGAACAGGCAGAGACCAGGCTGTCTGGGTCATCTAACGTGAAACCAGGCAGCTATAATTAGGCATGCAGTTCTCTTATACAAAATTTATACTGTTGAAAAAAAAATCAACATTTAAATAAATATGCAAAAGAAAGCAGCACAAAGTATTGATACAATTTAAGACTTCAGTCTGCTGAGCATTACAGAGCAATTCCAACCCCAAACCAGAATCATAAAAAATTTTTTTCTTCTTGAAAACAAACAAAACTAGATTAAGTTAGCTCAGTTTAAGAAGATGTAAAACAGAAGATACACTGTGAGCCTGAAACCACAGAATTTCATGTCTTAGTGGATGCCTGTAACATAAAGTCTTAGCAACATTTCACCTCATCTGTAATGCCAGCCAGGATAAACAGGAGACTGAAGGCTTTTTCTAGATACTCCTCAGTATCCTCAACTCCTCAGGCCTTGCAGGAAGAATATTCATTTGTTTCTAATGTTGAAGCAAGTACCCCAAAATTTAAGATTTTCTAGAAACATGCAAAAGGCTGACAGAGAAGTGTCTGAATTTACCATACTTTAAAAATGCTCAGCAATCACAGGTTCTTAAAAAGGCTGGTCACAAGATTTATGGGTTGCAGAAACTTTACACAGGCCTAACACTGTTATGCTGCTATATGCAGATACTTACAAAATTCAGTGTTTCAAGCCCAAACATCAAGACAAGGGGGAGAGCATGTGTTATGAAGATATCATCATGCCTCTTTAATCCAACCATTTTTCAACAGCTGAATGTGAATTTTGGTATCTCATGGGGACATCTGCTCAGCTGAGATCTACTGAGAAGAGAGCTTCAGCTGCAATTAATCCAGCTTTCTGATATATGAACGAGTGCTTAATTCATAACCCAATTTATTAGTGAGTTAGGACACTAATTAGTAGGTTTTCAGATTCTTTTGCAGACTCACCTGTCTCGACAAACATCGGTGCACTCTGCTAAAAAGTATCACTGCACATTGTCTTCAGAGAGTGTATGCTGATGAAACAGCATGTCAAGCACAAATGTTCCATAAGCAAATCCCACTCTCTAGTCATTTTAAGTCTGATAAAGAAATCTGTGCTACATTAAGTGTTCCTGCACCACTAAGATAGTGCACTGGATGGAATCGTCGATATTTTCCATAACACTATTAAAAAAATAACAGGAATCATTTCCACAGCTTTCCCCTCAACACAGATACATGAAACGATGCACTAGAATAACTGAGTGCCATTTTATTATTTCTTAATTTAATAGCTAGGTATCTACTTACTTTAGGTTTTGAAAAATGAAAACCATAACAATTTTAAGTGAAATATTTTTTACTTAGACCAACACCACCACTCTGTCATTTCACAAGGCAAGCTGGCAGCTGCAGTGTATCCACAGATATTTTTATGCACCTGTGTTGAGTGTCAATAACCTGTTGCTATCTGCTTATGTGAGACTATTCCTTATATTTCAGAAAAAAAAAAATTCTGATTTTTTTATTTTCTTTTTAAACTAAAACATGTTCACACTAAATAATAGGAATAAATTTTATTGGCTAGGCAGATCTCCTTGTATTGTCAGACAGCTCTGAAAGTAATTTGAAGGCAGACTGTCTGCTCCTAGGAGCATCGTTATGATCTTTTGTTCCTTTACCTAGAAGCAGGTTAAGCTCCTTTCAGGTGTTTGACCTTGAAGGATGTGAATCAGGAAAGCCTACACTACGTACCTAACAGTTAATAAGAGACACTTTACATGGAGCAGACACAATTGCTGTTCTATGAATGCTTCACCTCTCCAAAGTATTAGGTGTCATCTCTGTGTTGACACCTACCTGTCAACTGTCCTCCACCCTTCCAAGGTTAAGTACATGCTTTACTACTGGTAGTTGTCACTTTGGAAAGACATAATCTGACAAGGAAGATCAGGTACGAATCACGTTCCAATACTGCCACTCAGTGGGCTGCTCCGATTCTTTTCTGGCAGGGACAAATGAAGCAAAACACTGCCCATGCTTATCCATGTATCAGCCATAACTCTGCTCTGCTATTCAAAAGGAAATTAACAGGTCCAAAGTAACCACACGTGATGTGCAATAAAAATACAGGCTTGTCAAGGTGCTAAGTTCACTTATTTCTGCCCCTTAAGATCTGTTCAAAGCACCTGTTGACTCCAAAAAACATTGACAGGGAAAACCCCTGGGGCACTGGATAGCCAAGCCATTCAGTTTTAGAGCAAGTGATAGACAAACTGACTTAATCTCAAAATGAAGACACTGGTCCCATAACTTACAAGCATCATGAGACAAAATTTTAATGTAAAGATGCACTTCTTTCACAAAACAACTGTTATTCCACACATAAGCCCAGCTTCAGCTTGCTGCCTAGATTAGCTTTATTCAGAATGCTTGTCTCTGAGGAGGCAAGCCCAACACAAGGTATTTTGCAACTTAAACACCCTAACCATTTCTAGAGGAGTGACAACAAAGGGAGGGGGAAAAAAAACAACATAAATGAGTTTATAATGCAGCACTTAAATCAAAACCGGTCTTGAAGAAGAGGAAAATCTGCAGTTGATAAATTTTGTTTCTATTTATGTTTTTCTGCCAAACTTCACCTTTTACATTTTTTGTTAGGATAATCCTAAAGGCTTGTTCACAAGTGGCCACATGTGATCAAACATTACTGACTTAGAGCAAAGGAGGCAGTTACCATTCTACCTGACGATAATAAACCTTTCCTTCTCTGAAGTTATGGAAAATACTTCCCACTCCTGTCTATCAATAACAGACAGACAGTGAATATGTAAATTGTGCTTCTATATTTCACCTAAATAACACTCAGGTACTGAAAGCTAGAACAACTACACAGCAGTACCTCCTCTAGTACAAAGAGTTCTTATCACATGCAATGCTGCTTTGAACCAGCATTACTTGTGGAAAAGAATAACATTTTTACCATGCCACAAGTAAACTGATACATTATCAGCGATAAAAAAAAGTATGCTTTCGTCATGTGTGTCATTTGCAATACAGTACTTTGATGCTAGTGTGCTTAAATTGGTCTTCAGTGAGTCTTAAAATTACAGTAATACATCCTGTATTACATTTGTGTAAGCTAGCTAATAGGAAAAGCATGAATTTTACTGAAATACAGTAAGCACAGTAGAGAAACTGACTGTTACACTTGACTTCTGGCTGGCAGTTACTAATTCCCTAAATCACCTTGTTGGCTGTCTTATTAAGACATTGCAGTACGTTCAGAGCTCAGTGTAGAGATCAACTCTTAGGAACAACGTGGCAAATTACCTAATTATGAACAAGAGCATCTAGCTTAAGGATTATTCTTTCCATTGCAAACGGTGGAGGCCCTGACAAGGCTACAAAGATTTTGCAGTTTCAGTTCTTTATTCCCAAATGTTGATTTTATAGGCAAAAGGTAGGACTCCATTAACAGCACACTCAGTTCCAGAAGTAACTATTATATGCCATCAGTCAGTAACATTTGCCCTAAACAGAATAACCTGAAGTAACCATTTTTGAAAGGTGAGTCTTCCATAATGATGTCTGCATTCTGTGGAGCTTTTTTTTAAGCTATTTTCCCCCAGACATTTTAGGCAATAGAGAGCTGGTAGGAATACAGTGCTTTAGGGAATGGATGCCTGAATTTCCTGAGGGAACTAACACAAAATTTTCCATATTGCTGCACTGAACCATTAATTTCACCACACATTCTGCCTTTTCCTCCTGAAGCAGCACTTTGGAGCTTGCCTTACCTTGACTCTGTCCAAGGTGTTAAAACAGCCAAGGGGCTTTTGCTCAAGGAAAACAGATTAGAACATGTCAGGGAACAGTTTAATATGGACAAACCCTTTAGTTTTAGCAGCTACAATAAATGCAAAGTCATGAAACTTCATAGCGGAGCTTCCAAAGGTAGATCCACTACTCCAAAGTTTAAAATATACTGTGCTTGCAAGAACTGAAAGCCAGTTTCTCCCTAGATTTACTTCAGGTTAGGGATTTTAGTTTTAGTTTCAGTAAGTCTAAAAGACGCTGTGTAAAGGTTTGGAAGGTTTCCTATCAACGCAAATTTGGTGGTCTTGAAAGCATCCCATACTTCCAAGCTTCACCCAGTAACCCAAACCAATGAACGTTATCCTAAAGGCCAGTGCCAACATCTGAGTAAGCATGCAATTGAGGTATTCTTTTCATCCTTGTACAACAGTAACACTTTGCAGAACTCAAGTACAAAAGGCTAGTGTGGCCCGCAGGGTCCGCTACAAAGATTACATGAGCTCAAAGATTGCATAATAGAGTGAAGTAGACTCTTCTACTTCATTCTAAGATAAGTGGAACAATCTTCAGTTGTCCTAGAATGGAGTGTATTTATTTATAATGACAAACTCAAATCAACACGGACAAATTAAAAAGGTGGTTTAAAAGAGCCGATTTATAGGAATTGCATCCTAGAGACTTATACTCACGTTTGCTTTTGATTTCCCAGCTGGCTCCAAACTTCAATTACAAAACCATCAAAATTTTCATCCTAAAGGGAATCGACAACAAAATTCAGTTAATCACCATGCTTATTCATTATGCTTGTATCAGAGATGATAATACAGTTTCAAAGCACACAATTACTGTAGTTTTTCTCGTTCTATTACAGATTGAACATGCTTTGTATTCTTATACCAGCTTCATCTTTATTGCAGTATTTCATTAAGAAGTCAAAGAGAAGCACAATTTACTTAACAAATATGCAGAAGTTGAAAATCTCTATTAGTTATCCATGCCTTCTACTCTTACAGGACAATCCAGTACCAGATTGGGAAAATTCAGTCATTAATGAAAGATGGTTGTTAAGCAAATCATTTGACACACATTTACATGTATATTGGGAAAAAAAACCTCATGAGCTCTTGAGTCTAAAGATGTAAATGCTAACTTGGCACAGGCATGATTCCAAACATCTCCCACAGCTAATCTCACTTGTGATAATTTCTGTTCAGCATGATCAAGGATACTATTGTACTTGAGTATCCTTTCCTCAAGAGGCCAGCTGTTACTGAGGACTTAAAACCGATGTATCAGTTAAATTGAATAGTTTCTTAAAATTTGTATCTCTAAATCCATCTTCCTTTAGAGCACATTAAGATTTCTTTACATTGTGTAGCAAGTGAGAAAACTATCAGTTACAAATTTTAAGAAACTATTCAATTTATCTCTAAATCCATCTTCCTTTAGAGCACATTAAGATTTCTTTACATTGTGTAGCAAGTGAGAAAACTTACTCTAACAGCAATTAAGCAGGCTGTCATGAGTCAACCACTAAAGTTGAATGTCTTTTGGGTGCGAACTGTCTAGTCCTACACATGCATGGCTCTAAAGCCATTAGCTAAGGGACTGCCCAGAAAACCTTAGCGAACAGTAACCATTCCTTAAAGAAAATCCTCTTCTCCTCTTCCCAGCCTCTCAACATTTTAAGGAAACTGGTTATCAGACCTGAACAAAACTGTACAGTAACAGATATCCAGTGAGTTATTCTTGGTACTAAAAGTGGCTCTTTAGCTCTAGCACACTGAGCCTGAATGTACTCGTGTAACACAGGAAACAGCACTCATTGCACCCGTGACCCTTTTTCTGCCTCTCAAAAAGTGCCACTAACAAGTTTAGCCCCTGCTTAATAGATTTATTTTTTTAACAGAAATTTAAAAGCTAGCAGTCCACTCACTAGGCAGCCTCCATGAGAAGTTTATCAGGTATCCATTACTGTGACTACTGTATCCTCAGTAACATTCAGCCTGTCAGCTGTTTGGAACAGGTTTTATCAGTCATGATTTATGGCAGCTGCACTGGTGACTTTTGCTTGCTAATGATAACAAGGTTATGTTTATCAGACTTATGTAGTCTCTTTTCAGACTTGTAGTTAACTGCACCTAAGTGTTGCTACACTTCGTATTTACTGGAACTGGACACATACTAGGACACAATATTAAGAATTCTGCCCCTTTATTGTTTTGAGCAGAATTTTATTTTGTAGAACATAAAACTACTGGAAATGAGAAAACACCCATTACAAGAGGAATCAAATAGCATCTCACACTATTTTATTAGCATTAGCAAAAAGTCTTTTTACCTTGGCTAGCAGAACCATGCTCTTGGAAAGCTCCTCTATCTCATCTTCACTGCCAAAAACACTCTCAAAGTCCTGGTAAGTCCAGCCATCAAACAAAATTCGAGGCACTATCAAGCAAAGTCATCAATCAGTAGTGAAAATTAAGAATTTATTCTTTACACTGGAATATTTCTACAGAAACAGAATACAACAGATATAAGCAGAGATGCCACTAAAAACATATCCCATGATTAAGATCACCACTCTTTTACTCTGACAAAATTTAGCAGCACAGATAAATTGACATTGTAGAACATTCTTCTTCACTCTATTTTTAGTTAAAGGTCAGCACTGATGCAAGTTTTAAGAAAAGATACCCTCACTTGATTGAATTATCTTAACTGAACTATCACTTAATGGCCCCAAGTAGAGTCTTAAAAGAACACCGACATGAAACAGCAATATTTCTGTAAGTTGTGCATCTCTTCTACCACAAGAACAAGATAAAAAAGTTCACCTCCAACTCTAATTTACTCTTTTTGTACACAGTCCTATATTACTTCACTCTTCTGCTTATCTCAGGGCCCCATGACAAATTTTTATTTTCAAAAATATGGGCACTTACGTAATCTCTTTTTCTAACAACACAAAACATTAAAAATATAGTCAGATGAAAGTCAGGAAAACTGCTGTCGGAACAGTCAGCAATCATGCACACTGGGAAAGCCAACAACTCATACAGAGCTATGTCTAAGCCCTTTCTAACTACCAAGGATGTAAAAGAGTATTTTAGAAGAGTCTAGAGAGATTTCAAAGGCTTTATCATCTAGCAGCTGAAGTAATTTAAAATATCTGACTGAGAATTCAATTTTTCTAATGCATTTCAAATTTCATACTGCCTTCTGAATCCAGAAGGGTTTCACAGTTCCACAGAATTCTTGCTATAGACAAACGTAAGAAGTCTAGCACAGTATTATCTCTATAAGTTTGCCATTTTCCCTAACGACACACACCATGGCACATCCCTTGAGTTCCCAGCTTCAAGGAGAGAAAAGCCAAAGGACAACTTTTCTACTATCATGCAGGAAAGTCTGACTGACTCAGATTTAGACCTTTTTTTTTTTTTCTTTTTTTTTTTTCTTTTTAACTAAGCAGAACTCCTGAGCAATAAGTCTAAAGACTGCTCCCCCAGGTAAGCATGTAGTGTTATATACAAAGTACTCCTCCAGAAAGGGCCCTGTGACCCAGGGTTTATCCAGAGACAAGAAGTTAAGGTAAAACATTAGGGCACCAACAGGATCAACTCTTTAGTCACTTAACTATCTATAGTTAACTGGTTTTATTTTTCTCCTCAGACTTCTTCCTTCATACAACTATGCTAAGGTAACCTCCCTTTCTCCTCTATATATGTGGAACAAAGCCTTCTTTTCCCCTGCTAGCAGTTAAAGCAGATAAAAACCAAACGTAAAACAGAGTCTCACCTATTTTGGTGGTTTTGGAGGTTTTTCTGACATCTTTCATCCAGCCTGTCAAACAGTATCAAGAGAACAACTGTTAAAAGATAAATGATGTTGATAATGACAACATATTTTCAAGCATTCTTCAATAATATAGCACAGTTTCATTATATCTACCTTCCTGCCACAGACTAGTAGTTCACAACCAACACAGATAAAGCATTCTTTGATGCACAGAATTTGAAACTATTCACCTCCACCACAGCATAACTAGCATTTACTACAATCTTACAATAATTCCTACCCAACCCCTTCCTGCTGCTTACAGTTCTGCCTCATCATGGAAACTATCTTACTGCCTACTCAGAACAACACTTCTGTAGTCACCAAGCATCACCTGGGAGGAACTTTTTTTTATTTGTTTAAGATGGTACTTTCAAGTGTCCCTCTTGGCAGTCATTGCACTAGAATGAATGTTAGTGGGCACCAACATGATAAAATTATAGCTGTTTCAAATGAGATTCCACATTCAATCAAGTTCAAAACCATAAACTACTTAGTTATAATTTAAGAACATACTAGCTGAAATCTTAACCTGCTGCCAGTTTCTTCACAGTGAAGGAAAAAAATTCTATTCAGATTAAATTTATCTTCCAGTCTCAAAACAGATTTACCCAAAGTTTTTTGCAAAAGGAAAATAAAACATAACAGGTAAACAACTGCACAGTGCAAACACCAAAGACTATTTCCGCCTGTACAGATTCTTTGTCCCTTCAAGACTATTTCTGCCTGTACAGATTCTTTGTCCCTTCTTTTTTTTAAGAGGGGCTTTGTAGACAGCCTGGTGGAAGAGCCAATCTTTCTAGTTACTCTTTGGACAGATAAACTATGTACACATGTGGAAGCAGGTGTGGACAGAAAGAAGTTAAATGTGAAGAAAACTCTCCAATAAATGGAACAGGTGAAAGTACTTCACCATGAGGCAGAGCCAGAAAAACCCAGATGCATATATTGCCAAAGCTACCTAGCCTGCAACAAGACCAGTAATCTTACTTGCAATGCATATTCAAAGAAAAAAACAAAACAAAACCAAAAAACCAAAAACCCCCACCTTTATCAGCGTCATGGAGCCCAGTGAACTGGAACCTTTCCTTCCCTCTCCTTTTCACTTGTAACCAGACTGGTGAAATTAGTGTGAATTTGTTTCCAAATATTTTAGCAATGTCATAGCCGTGGTTGTTCCACTTGCAAAAGAAAGGAGGGGGAAAAAAAAAAAAGTGAGAGGCTCAAAAGCAAGATAGACAGTTCACTTTACTTTTGACCAATACAAATTCTTTAACACTAATGTAATCATTTGCTAGATCCCCATTTGCTAGTTTGAGGAAACCTTCTGGGACATTACTTTTATTTAAACAAGAAAGTACTCCAGAAACTCTGATAGTTACATGAAAGGCAATCTTTAAATTGTGCAAATGCACCTGAACTACAGGAATTTGCATGTAGATTCCAACACAGTTTTGAATTTACAGACTCAGCATTTATGTTCAAGAGAACTTGAGAAATGTGAAAATTTATAGGGCATCTACTTCTCTTTTAAGCAGTGTAAGACTGAAACAAGTGAAAAGCATCCTCTAAACAAAAGGAAGAAACATTTATTATTCAAGAAAGGGTGCTGTGAATAATAGTAAGACTGGATAGCAAAAGAGATCAGTTTGACAGCAGCATAAAATTTTTACTGTTTATTTGGAAGGTTCACACTGGTAGCTGCATGGTATGAGGATACTTAGTAGCCCTCCTGTTCTGACTTTACTGCAACTTCAGGTGGCTCTTCAAGGACAATAGAATACTATGATCTCTGTTTTAGCGGTGAGAAGAAAAACAGTATGACCTACAGATCGTCCAAGAAATTGATGGGAGAACAAGGGTTTGACACCACCTGAATCCCAAGTCAGCTCTCCTATAATCCTCTGGCTATTTGACTGTATTTGACCAGAAGTTCCCATTATCATAAAAATGTTTTTAAAGCAAGGATGCAAGATTGCAGATTAGCACAGTCTGCTGTATATTCATTCAAAGCACCAATTTTATTTATTTTATAAACTTACAGGAGTGATATAACCCAGAACATCTCCTGAGAAGTGTCTTTGCTTCATCTTCTTGGAGCAATAACTTCTGTGTTCCAGTACAATATCCTTTGCCTTTGGATCCACAACTACCAGTCCCCGGTCTTGCACATTTTTATCAGAATGCAGCACCTGGGGGGAGAAGACATTTTTTAGAACCAGTTATAGGAAGCAGCCACTTTCAATAGCAACAGACTTCAAAAAGAAAAAAAGAAAAAAAAAAAAGAAAAAAATCACATCATTAAACTCTGAGCAGTCCTTTTAAAAGATGCAGAGCAGTTTGATTTAAAACTGAAACAGGGAAGTGCTCAGAAATGATTTGTCATCATCAGTAAACTTACTTTGCAAGGCAAAAAGCATATAAACAAAAAAAAATTTCGAGAAGTGGTAAGATTAAAGGACATCATTCACCACAGCTGATGGTGCTCTGCTCTCTAGTCAATGCTTTCTGGCATGTTACCCCCAAAATGATAAAAAAGGAGTTAGAAGTTCTTAACCAAGAATTTGAAGACAACTGTTAAACTGGATATATTTGAGACTGAGTATGCTGCATTGTGGTTACTGAAGGCCAAGCTTCTGAACACTTTTCTTTAAGGAAGATCTGCTTCAATTAAAACAGCACAAATAGTTTTAGCAAAAAAAAAAACAACAGAGTGAAAAGGCCTAATAAAGCATGCATGGTGAATACACAGAAATCAAGAGATGCGAGTACACAACTCTTGATTCAGCATAAGGACTTTAGGGATAAGGCCTTTCTTAACACTTTGTATTATCCTCACTACCTGCACACTAGATTTTCTTCCTGGGAGACATTGAGCAAGCAAGTAACAGAAACAATGAGAGATATATCTGCGCAATGAAGGATTAACTATACTTATATAATTTTAGGGAGAGGATTTTGAACATCTCTACTTTTTTACCTGACATGTTTATCTAATACTAAGTACATATACTTATTAAATGCACTGGTAAATATACTTCCTCTCCATACACACCCTTTCTCTTGCACTGCTGTGCCTTCTTGCAGTTTGGAAAGAAAACAGGCGGGAAACAAGAACATGCTCAGCAAGTTAAGAGAGACTTCAGCACATTGGCTCCACTTGCTCAGATTGCTGCAGAACTCTGAATCATTTCTGCCTGCAAAAAGAACTGCTGGTTAGAAGGCTCTTCAAACTCTTCTATCAGGATAAAGCCTTCCCCTTAGCAAGGCTGAGAACACCTTCCCTGCCAGCAGTAAATGACCTAGTACTTGTGGCCCAAACTACTGCTCCCCATCCCCCTTTCCAAAGGGATCGAAGTATGTCTCTTTTAGCTATACAAGAGGGCACAAAAACTTCCTGCTTCTGCAGCTTGCATGGGGGACAAAGCTCCAGAAGTCTACATCATATTGGTTTGAAGAGTCAACCATTTGTGACACTCATAAAAGCTGAAGGAAAGGACAGTTTCAGGTAGTCTTATTTGCGAGCATAAGCTTCAACGGAAATGCATGGTTGCTTTTAACACTGTTTTGACAGAATGAGAGTCCGTTTACCAAAGTTCAATCAGTTCACTGCACATGTTTGATCAGCATTTCAGTTATTTCTCTTACCTTTTCTTCCAGTTTTTTTGTAGCACCTTTCTTTCCATCTGTTTTTGACAGGGTACCTTCAGCTAGCCAGAAAATCATGGTAAGAGAAAATGAAGTACAGAGAAGCCTCATGGTGTTTTTCCCCACGTTAAGTGTCTCCTGCCTTGAAAACATAAGGGTTCAAAATCTCTGTGAACAGAAGAATACAACAGTTTAAGTCAGGTTTCTCAGCTAACAAAAGCCAAGCAATTGTCTTATCTTTGGTCCTCTAGAATCAGACTTATTAAGGGAGTACTGTTTTAACAGTGCTTTTACTCTAGCAGCAAAATAGCAGAATATTTTAAGAGATTCCTAGGCTTAAACATCTTTTTTTATCCCCTGTTTTAGTAAGTGTATCACAGAGAAACTGGGTTAAATACCTGCAGCTTCCCTTTTAAAGAATCCCTAAAGAAGTGTAATGATTTACAGCTGAAACTGAGATAAATGTCTGCTGCCCAGAACAATTATAGTACCACCTTACCTTTTCTATAGCAAATAAGAGATATAATTTGTTTCTGCTCCTGCCTAATCCAGTCAGCAAGTCGAAAATTAATCAAGAGACAGAAACAATTACAGCTATATGCTTATAGCCATGTGTCTTGACTCTTAACAGGTGAGAACTTTGCTTTCAATTTCTTGCCAAGTCAGTGATACAAACAGAATTGAAAAAAATATAGAGGTCCTTTTGGTCTAGAAGAATGACTTCGAGAGTTTGTCCTAGCTCCAGATAAAAGAATTGAAAATTAATAGAGAACGGTTCTGTCTGGTGCTATTTCTCTATCACACCTTAGTTCTGTCAGAGGAAAGAGTTTACAAAAAAAAATTCAAATACAGCCAGAGCTTGTTGTTCAACCTCTTCCCATTCATGAGTCACACTAATTTTCCAGCCTAGTTCCCAGAAGCGGATAAGACGAAAACAGAGAAAACATATTTAGCATTCGGGGGACCAGGGTGAAAGGAGGTAAAACACCAGAATGAAGAAAAGCAACTTGTTACTGATTCTGGAAGTCCTAAGTATTAAACTGGGACTAACTTTCATCTATAATAAACTAGTGGCTCCAGCTACATATCAGGCTGCTTCTCATAATTATGAGATCCTAATGGAGAAGAGAAAAAGGTTACCTTTTCCATAATTTTCTGAAATTTTGTCAAACAAAAAATTCTTGTGCTTTCTGTATTACTCTGAAGAATTAACATTTCTGCCACTCACTTTAAAGACTTACAAGCTCATTTCTTCAAGTCATATTTACAAGACTTGTCGTTCTGTTGGCACTGATAACAAGTGCTGCTCAAAGGTTGAGTATTTTGTTTCTGTACAAAACATCAGGTGAGGGATCCCACAACACCAGACTGAGCACTCTAAAGGAGCACTGTGGCAGTAACATGGTAGCAGAAGGAACCTTAAAGGTTAAATGGAAGTGTACTGAATGAAACAGCAGCTATTTGAGGCCAACAGTGGCAATGCAGAGATGAGATCAACGACCAATAAACTTAAGCATATTTCGATGTGGCTAGCTTAGCAGTGAGGTTTTAAAAAGCAGAGATATTTATTGCAGGAGTTAGGGATTCTGCTGGAAAACAGAGAGGAGTATGTGATTAGGGAAACAAAGCAGAAGGATGATGACAGCAGAAGTGCTTGAAAAAAAACCCAATGCCACTAGCACCAAAGTACATAGAGCATCAAAAACCTCATGTACAAAATGATTTGAAGGCTTTAGTCAAGTCTCATAAAGACTGCAAAACAAAAGCAGAAAGCCTTCTAATACTTCTTGGATCCAGAGGGCAGGGTAAAAGCTAAATAGCTATACTATTTGAAATTCACTATTATTAATAGTTAAGGTGTTATGCTTCTACTTTGACTTCAAGGTCACTGGTAACCCACTTGTTTTCCACATTCTAAAAAATTAGACAAAGCAAGTTGCTCTTGATAACATCTACTCTGTTCTGTCTAGCTTGGCAGGATCCATAAACTACTGCAGAGGGGAACAATTGAGAGCCTGAATAGTCAATACAAGTCTTAACTATTTGGACAGGATATCAATTCTTCCAGAAGCTGGTATATATTGATTTGAAGGTATTTGATTTCACTTTCAGAAACAATTAGCAACAGTATCCACTTCCCTGAAGAGAAGTTAATGTTTAACAGCTGCAGAACATAAGTTTAAAAAACCATCACTGAACTCTAATTAGACATCAAAATTTGCTCATTTCCTTGACATGATCATATCCATCTGCCAATTATTGTTAAGTCGACATCCACTCCTAGATCTATAGGAAGCACTGAGCCTGTGGCAAAATGATTTCTGCCAGTGACAGTCCAATATCGACTTTTGGTTGGAACCTTATTTTAATAATTTGTTTTTTAACAACATTGGTTTAGTGAAAATAAAGTAAGACAGCATCGCTCTCCTACATGAAGATGATTTAGTCAAATTTTAAATGCTCTTTATGGAAACTATAAGCATGAATTTTGCAAGCTTTACAAAAGTAGATCCCCACCAACTTTTTCTTCTGCAAACCTTCCTTCATAATTTTTAATTTTCCTGAAACTAACTAAACTGAGTAGAACTGTATGAGCTTGGCAGTCTCGTTTATTTCCTGTATCACTGCAAAATGCAAGCAAAATTGAAGAGGGACTGACTGTGTCCTTCTTCCAATGATACTATGGACAATTTAGGGTTTAAAACATCTTTTGACAAGCTGATCTTAAGCCCAGGTTTCTCTCTAAGCCAGGTCACAAAGTTGTTTAACGTGAGTCTCCAAATAAAATAAAGTAACATACTTTTAGTCAGCTGTTTTAAATTCCTCTTTATTTTTAAAAGAGAAAAAAAGTGGCATAGATTTACACTGTCCAAAAGAAGCAAGCAAAGAAAGTAAATAATCTTGGAGGCTGCAACAGTAACTACTTGGAAACCAGAGTTAATGTTTACATTTTATTTCTAAAGAAGAAACTAGATTCTAACTGCTGCTGCTGCAAGAGTCTGCATCACTTAGTAAAGGAAGCCCAGGAAGCATTGTGTTGGTGTTTTTAAATTAAATCAACAAAAGCTAGATTCAGGAGTGAAAAGAGTGAAAATAAACCTGTTTCTAACCTGTGTAAATGATGTCGAGGAATTGATGTAAAAATCTTTATGGTTGTAATTTCTAACAAAGATAAGGAACTGAGGTAAATCATTTAGGTAGAATGGTTCTTGACAAGTCAATAGGATAAAAGGAACAGGTAGATCTGAAACCAGGGAACCAGAAAACTTTAGGGGGCTGATTGCCCAAGAAGCTTGGCTAAGTGTGTCTTTTAGGTGAACTTAGCTCATTATAATACTAAAAATCACACCCCCTAACTGGAAGACCCCAGCCCACTCAGAGACCCTTCCCCAAACAGCAAGCATAGTATAAAAATGTTATATGAGCAATATGTAAATGAGCTGACTAATCCTGGTGTTGGAGGTTGTGCTAGGGTCGCAGCCTAATGATAAGAATATGTATATAAACCGTCACAGAAGAACCCTAGGTGTGCTAGCTTCATGGAAGACCACCTAGCACCCGAACTTGCTTAACATCTCGTCTGCGTGTGTGATCGGTTTATTGCACACCGGGTGACGAATCTGTCTTTTCGGACAACATAAACATTACCCGCTTTCCTCTTGTAAGGCGTTCTACTTTGACAGAGAGAATTGCGTGCCACACTCGTCCGACTCTCGAGATACCGAAGCTTTCCACCCGGATCTGAGAGACCGCCAACAGGCTGCCTCAGAGCAAGCCCCCGCCGCGGCCTACC